TAATAGTTTTTGTAAATATTGATTTATTAGACTACATTAAGATTTGAATGTCAATATAACATTGACACAAAAATGTTCAGATTGCAAATGGGATCAGTAATATACTATCTATAAAGTAAACTAGTTAAACATGGTTGATCTTGCAGAAGATGTATATTTTACTGATTTCAAACACAATGATAATATTTTTATCAATTGTTGCATCTACTTACATTTGCATTTATCTCAGTGATATATGTATATCGTTACATACAATGATACACTTAAATCAACAATCATAATATGTACGTAGACAATTGAAATTCCACAATTTATTGGAAATATAGTAATCGATAAAATGTCATTTTGTTGTACATACAAATTAAAAAGGCTACAGGGTGATCTATTTGAAGGGCGATTTCAACTGAACTTGTTAGTATAATAAAATACTTCCAGCAAAAGTTAATTGCATGAAAAGAATTATTTTGTATGATTGTAAGTAATGTTTTTTTGTAAAAACTGACACTTTCAATATATTTTCCATCTCATGCAAATTCACCTACTGAATTCTTGTTTGAAATATTTTCAGTGCGCTGTCAAAATCAGTTGAAATACTACGACGATTGATTTATATACCACCCTATATAAAGACATGCTATATTTAATAAGAAACTGTTATCATAGAAAACGCTTTTAAATTAACTACAGCAGTATCTACTTAAACATTGATTCAATTTATAAGAAAGAATACTCTTTAAATATTGTTAATATTATAGACAACTGAATATTATACAATTTTCAATATGTGTACATGAATTCTATATATTTATAAATATAAATTGAAAAAATCTTATATTATTATTGCAGGTTATTCAAGTTTTAGAATCTCGTCTGCAACATGCAGTTGTTCACACAATATATAAATTGAAGTCATAAAATAAAAAATTAAGATATTTTATTATTCAAAGGTTGTTTTAAGCCATTGTAAGCTCTTGAATAGTTGCTTTATTTTCATCTGGGTAGCTCAAACCGTACAAAGCCAACAGTGCTGACTTTGCAGCTATTTTCTTGGCATCTTTTTTGTTTTTGGCTGTAATATATACATGTAATTTTAGTAAGATATTTATTAAAATTATAAAATATATACACTTACGAACAAAAGTTAAAAAACGTGTTACATAGATGTATATTCTTGATTGTAGTAAATCTTCTCAACATATGATAAATATATATTAACGAAAATATGAATTTTACATCTTTATACTTTATGTATTATATGCTTCATGATAAATGTATCAAATTTTACTTAAATGCTAATGATATGTAATGTTTCTTAACTTTTGTTTGTAAGTGTGCTTGTTACTTATACACAAGTTGAATCAAATATACTTTAAAATTTACTAATTATTATAAATAGATTGTAGATATTTATGCAAATTCCCACATGTATACTTTAATAACATTTCTAGTGGCAAAAATGAACTGAAAATTCTATCGATATTTGAAAAATTTCTCTTTATAGCAAATATGCAATGTTACCTGTTCCTGCATATTCAACCCCATCAATTTCTACAGCAAGTGTAAACATTGTATTAGGTGGATTACCAACACGATTTAATTCCACATATGTTAAACCTGGTCTCATCTGGTTTAATAACATTACAGGGTGTATGTTCGTAGCGTTTGTTGGAAGTTCCTTTTGAACTGGAGCTTTTGGAATATGGGCAATCTCTTTCTTAACTCCTTTTACAGGTGATGGTAATCCAGGTCTTGAAACCGGAACTGATGTTCCTTGATTATGCCACTCAAGGAACAGTTTGTATAAAGCAAAACTGGCCAGAGAACTCCATGGAATTTCGTCACTTTCGTCTACGTTAGTGTCCATAGGTGTTGCACCTTCTTCGTTACTATCATCCTTTGATACATTGGACGAATCTGCCAATTGATTTATCATACCATCTGTTTCTGCATCAATACGTGCTTTCAAAGAGGCTGCTGTCATTTTTTCAAGTAATAAAGCTTTCAATGCATTTTCGGCAGCATTTTGTCGTGCAAGTGGTTTTGATAATCCTTGTCCAACATAGGTTTTACCATCAAGCTATTATTAATAATGATTAATTAAATTCTGATTTATTAATTTACTTTTGTAAACACACAAGAACACATGATTTTAAATATACCTCTGCATGAACGAGATAAAGAGAGTTTGGCATTCCTTGGGTTTCAGGGAATGTGAACTGCACTCCAGCCTTCATTTCATTCAGTACCATAATTGCATTCTTTGGTTGCAATGTTTTTCTTAAACGTTGATTCAAACGAAGTCGTTTGAGTCTTTTGTTTACCCTAACTAAATGTATAAAATTTATTTAGCACAAACAAATCAAAATTATATATTTATCTTACTTTCCACAAGGTCAGAAAAAATGTCTTCACAAGTGTTATTAAAAATGCTATAACTCAACAATAAAATATCGGAGCATTTAGCAATTAAAATTTTCAAATTTGCGCAGTGAATTATCATCATTGGAGTGAATTTTTAATAAAAATTTTATAATAATTAACTTTTTATAATTACTTTGATTAACAATATACTTCATTGGCATTCAAGAATACTTACATCCAGGTACTTTACGTCTCCATCTAGGTTGTTGATCTTGCATTTCAACATCAGCATTCTCAGGCACTTGATTATCATTCTTTGCATCAGAAGCATTGTTTGTTACTGGTGGTGTAGGATTCGAATTGGTTGTTAGAGGTGTTGGAGCAGGAATTGGTGGTTGAGAAGTCGGAGCAGGACTATTTTGCACAGTTGGTGTAGCTTGCTGCTGTGTATGGGATGTCTGTTTCAAAATTGGTTTTAATCGTTGGGGTTGAGCCGAAGATTGCAGCTGTGCTTGGGATTGAGGCTGAGATTGTTGCTGAGGTTGAGGTTGAGGTTGAGGTTGTGGAACAGGTTGAGGTTGAGACTGAGGTTGCGATTGTATTTGAGATGAGATTGGTTGCTGTGGTGGTTTAATCTGTTGTTGTTGTTGTTGTTGTTGTTGCTGCTGCTGCTGTGGTTGCGATGGTTGCTGTTGTGGTTTCCCTTGTTGCAAATTCCTTGACGTGACTTGCTGCTGTTGCGGTTGTTGTTTAAATGCTTGTACGTTTTGTGCATTTCCTTGTTTATAATTGCTTTGCTGATTAGGAGAGGGTTGTGAACCTTGGAAGCCTCCTTGATTAAACTGTAAAAAAGAGGGTGGGTCGCCGCTACACAAGGAACCTCTACGGTTGTGCTATCCCACCAAGGTCTAGCATCGTATGTGTACTCGGAAGCAGTCTAATGCTACCCCCATAACTCATACCAATACATCGGTGGCCAATATTTTTTTTATTTATAACTGAGCCATGTTTAGGAAATGTTTTAACACTTTAGCTACCTGAAACCTAAGAAGTCTAGTTTCCTTTAATCAATATTCTTGAGAAGTTATTAGATTAGAACCAAGACAATTTGTTGCTTTATCGATAAAGTTGTTATCTTTATTGAACAACCCATTTGAAAAAACCTTCAATAATTTGCCTTCGATGTTTAAAAAATGTTTAATAACTACTAGTAGGTAAAGTGTTAAGTAATAAAAAAATATACACAAAAGGTAATATTAATTTTATGATGTACTTTATCAAAACAATCTCTATATTTTTATGGAAATTAAAAAGATGACCTAAATTCGAACAATTAATAAATGTTCTATTTAACAATAAACTTTGTTCGTTTGAATGTATACTCTCATAATATATCTATTTATATAACTTGTAAACCAAATTGTTTCTTGTATTAATGAAACATTGTTCATTATATGTAACATTGTCAAATTATAAATATTGTAACATTGTCACATTTAAACATCAGTTCAGTACATTATCAAAAATATGGCCTGTGGCAGGCTATGCTATGTGGGTAACTGACGAACTAGTCCCTGGCTGAATAGACCTCCTCGGTATTGTTGTATAGCTACTATTTCCTGCATTGCAGGGGAGGGGAAAGTAGGGACCACTAATTAGTACATGCAAATGGCTGAAATGTTGGAAACAACAAATGGAACAACTATACAGATTGATTGCGAGGAATATAAAATATAACAAGCTTTTTGTTTTTATATTAATAGAATTTTCTAATAGAAGTATAATGAACTTTAATAATTTTGTTCTTCAGACATAAACAAACAATTAGACATGTTTGTTATTGTTAAAATAAACTAGATAATACAAAAAAAATTTCTTTCCATTATAGTTGA